GGGGATGCTGCAGCGAGCGCTACACAGTGCGACTAGCGCTCCGCGGCGGGAGCTACGCTCACCTAATGGGCCGAGGCCGCGCCTCTCGGCCGCACGCACGCACGCACGTACGCACGCACGGAGCGGGGCGGGCACGGCGACAGCTCCGCGACGGCCGTTCCCATTGGCCGCGGGGCGGGGCCTGCGCCTGCGCGGGGAGCGGGGAGCGTGCGGCACGTGTGGCGCGTGCGCCGGGAGGGGCCCGGGGCGGGACTCGGGGCGCGTGACCGGTTCACGGAGCGGTCGCCGCGGGGCCGTCCGCCGTGCCCGTGCGTTCCAGTCCGTCCTTCACGCCCACCTTGAGGATGTCGCTCACCCGGTATCTCCGTCTCCTCACCCGCGGGACGTGAGAGCTGGTCCTGGCGCGCGGAGTGGCGGCGTCGCCCATGGCAGTCTTTTTTGCACGAAGACCCCGGCCCCCCGGTTCCCGTCCTCGTGCACCGGGCCGGGTGCTGCCGAGGGGACGTGGCGCTCAGCTTTCTGCCCGCGCCGCCCACGCCCGGGCCCTACGCCGCACTCGCCCGCAGACCCTCAGGGAGGCCGAGGCCTGGTGGCTGCGCCCGGGCGCCTCAGCGGAGCCCCGGTCCTGCGGGGTCACGCCAGCCTGGAGCCCTCCCGCCCTCCCCGTCCAGCAAGGAGCAACCGTGTGCCTCGTTTTACAGGCTCTTTGCTTCAGTGGAGTGATCTCTCTGTCCTTAATTTTAGGATTCACTCACCCGTTCTCACCACGTCTACTGGCCCGCCTGCAGACTTTCTTAAAGGAAAATTTCAGGTTTATTTTATGGCAGCAACAGTGGCGAGCAGGCCCATCATGGTGGCAGGACAGCAGAGGGCAGGCAGATGGTGAAGAACCCCCTCTACGGGCAGGACTGCGGGAGTGGACTGCGGGAGGGTGCTGGGCTCGGCCCCTGTAAGTGGCCCAATGTTTCCACATTGTCAACGAGGTTTGGAGGCAGAGTCCCCAGAGATGCCCGTCTTCTTGGAGGTTGGGATTGCCTTTTGGTATGGCTGTGGGATAGGGAAATGGGGTGTAGGAACCAGACAAAGAGCTGATTTGGAGAGCGTTCGCTATTTGTCAGCAGTGTGGAGGGCAGGTGCAGCCAGAGGAGGCAGGAGGGTGCTTCCAGTCTGGACTACGTGCTAGGGTAGCTCGGCCCAGGCCTGCACGCCAGCAGGTGCTCCCTGCCGAGGACAGTCATCAACGGAGCCGCTGCAGGAGGTCTGCAGGGGCATCACGCATGTGCCTGGATTCTGGCCCTTTCTGAGAAAAACTAGATGAAGCAAAATGAAACAGATAGGTAAGAAGAGACACAGACTAGCAGAAGGTTGCCCAGTCCCTGAAAGGCGCAAAGTAAGAAAGAACCGAGCAGAAAGAAACGAATGTGCCCTACTGACAGGTTGAAGAAGGGGAAGCGAGGCGGCCCCAGGATTCTCCACCAGACCAGACGGTCTACTCAGAGAAAATGGGAACTTAGGGCTGGCCGGTTAGCTCTACTGGTTAGAGCCTTTTTATAACACCAAGGTCAGGGATCTTCATACTGGCCAGCCGCCAAAAGAAAAAGAAAGAAAATGTGAACTGGAAGGAGAGTTAGAAATGTTACCAGATTAAGTTATTTATTTGCATTTCAAGTGAAAAAAACGAAAGGGTCCCCACAATCTTTGAACTTCAAACCCTTAAGTAAAAAAGAATTCCTAGAGTAATTTAAAGCCTCCTGAGGAAAGAGGATACTGCCCCTGCAGCTCCTTGCATACCCTAATGAAAGCCCTCCTAAACTCGTTGTCCCCTGTCTCCCACTCCCCAACCCCTCCCGCCATAGTTAAACACAAAATAATTGTTGCTAATATTGCCGAGAAGCCTAAGGCAATTACTAGTAAATTAGGCTTAAGAAAATAGAATGAAATAAAAAATTATAACCTTGCACTAAAATTTCAGAGGGTTTCAATTAGACATTGGGTGAGAGACAATGAACTTATGTATTACAGGACTTATTAGGGAGGGAAGGTTATAGATATGTATAAAATGTGTTGATAGAAAAAGTATAAGTTTAACTATAATTCTTCAAATGCAGGGATAATCACTAAAAGACTAGGTATAGGCCCTTAGCTTTCAAACAACTTGAGGAAAAAAAAGAAACTAACAAGAAGAAAGGGAAAAATAGCAAGGATATGAAAGATTGGAATAGCACATTGAACATGATTCCATATGTTTGTATGAACTTTCATAGCAACACACAGGAAATACACACTTAAGCACCCTTGGATCGTTTTTTAAAAATCAGCCGTGTGTTGGATCACTTAATGCAAAACAAAAAACTCAACAAATCCTCAAAAGTTGAAGTTACACACACCGCATTCTGAATACAATATAATTCTAGACATTACCTACAAAAAGAAAATCTCCCCCCCCAAAATCACTCCTATTGCTAATTACAAAGCCCTTCTAAGTTACACTTTTGTATATTAAAAAATCAAAAGAAATTACAGTCAATTTAGAAAGACCAGACCGGTGCCAAAATATACATATACATATATATGTATGTATGTATGTATGTGCGTGTGTGTGTATATATATATATATGTCACTGTGTAGCTAGTTCGTAAATGAGGGGAAGTTTCTCATAGAAGTTTTCCAGCTAATAAATGAAAAAGGAGTGAGAGAATATCTGTTGGGTATTTTTCATAATAATAAATGAAGAAGGTAAAAAAAATCAACATGTATCAAAACCCTGATGAGAAAGATGGCATACGGGGCACATTTTTTTAGCCTTGCTTTCCTCTCAAGATCTCTTTGAAATATGAAAGAGAATAAACCTGCAACAGAGAGAACCGGAGCTGGTTGGTCAGTGGACCAGAGTTCATAGCATTCTGGAAGACCAAGTGGCAGGAACACATTGATAATAAAAGAAAACAAAGATGAAGCAGTCCCAAAGCAGAGGCAGATTCAGGCATTGTGAGGCCTTAGAAACACACAATTTTTGAAAAGCTTTATTTGTAACAGCTGTTTAATAATGAATGTACAAAAACCTGTGCAACTTTAAAGTGTATAATCTGATGTGTTTTAACATATGTATACAGCCATGAAACCATCAAGATAATGAACATGCCCATCACCTTCTCCTCTGGCTTCTTTCATTCAGCATAATTATTTTGAGATTCACCAATGTCACATGCATCAACAGTGTGTTCCTCTTTCTTGCTGAGCAGTATTCCATTGTTTGGATATACCACAGTTTTGTTTATTCATTCACCTGTTGATGGACATTGGAATGTTTTCAGTTTTTGCCTGTAACAAATAAAGCTGCTATGAATATGCATGTGCAAGTCACTATATGTACATGTCTTTCATTTCACAGGAATAAATACCTAGGAATAAAGTGGCTGGATCATATGGTAGATGTATGTTTCGCATTTTGAAAGACTGCCATAATGTTTTCCAAAGTGCTTTTACCATTTTACATACCCACCAGCAGTGTATTAGCCCCCATTCCTCTACATCTTCAACACTTTGTCTGGCCGGTCCTTAATTTTAGCCACTCTAGTGGGTGTGTACTGTTATCTCACTGTGATTTTAATTTGCATTTCCCTATTGTTGACATCTTTTCATGGTCTTGCCGGTCCTTAATTTTAGCCAATCTAGTGAGTGTGTACTGTTATCTCACTGTGATTTTAATTTGCATTTCCCTATTGTTGACATCTTTTCACATTTTTTCATGTGCCTGTTGGCCATAGACTTATTTACCATCAGTAAACAGGCAAGGATAATCACTAAAAGACTAGATATAGGCTCTTATAAGACCTGTGAAGTGTCCAAATCCTTTGCCTATTTTTTAATTGGATTGTTTTGTCTCATTTAGTTCTAAGAGTTATTTTATTTTAGATACAAGTCCTTTGTAAGGTATCTGTTTGCAAATATTTATTCCAGTCTATGGTTTGTCTTTTATCTTTCATACAGTGTCTTTGGAAGAACCAAGTTTTCCATTTTTACAAAGTTCAATTTAATTTTTTTATAGTTCCTTCTTGTGTCCTAGTATATTCATTTCCTGTAGATGCTGCAACAAATTACCATAGACTTATTTGGCTTCAAACAGCAGAAATTTATTTTCTTATAGTTCTGGAGGCCAGAAGTTCAACATCAGTTTTACTAAGCCAAAATCAAGGTGCCAGCAGGCGGCACGCCCTCCAAACGCTCCAGGGAGAATTGACATTTTACCAGTGCCTAATCTTCCAATGCATGAACACACTGTGTGTCTCCATTATGTAAGGTCTCCTTTAAATTTCTCACAGCAGAGATTTTTAATTTTTTTTTTTTTTGTCTTTTTTCATGTC